AGTTGTAGCCTAAAACATGACTTTCCTAAACCCTGGAGAGAAGGACTGGTTGGTTGCATTAAATAGGAGCACTTCTGTCAGAAGAGAGGGTGCACTGCAACATTTTGTCACTTAAGCTTAGGTGGCTGGTCTTGTGACCTTGTTTTATAGTAGTAAATAATCCTTTATAATTGAAGATGGAGACTGCCCCTCAGAAAGGGCTGTTTTATGGCCCCAAAGAACGTTATACCACAGCCACACAAACCTGATTGTCATCTATTGGTAGAACAAGTAATGAACACACATGGACAGAGCCTGAGTTTCTCTTATCAAGCTACTCTGGAAGACACCTAGCATGGACAGGTGGATGCTATTAAAAGGACTGCCTGAGTATTGAGGGATTTGGGACTCCATCTGCTGGATAGAAAGTGGAAATGTATTCCGGTTTGGGCCAGGGCAGTGGTTCTCAAACTTTTTACCCTTGTGAACCTCTTTACATCTACATCCAGATGTTGCCTCCTCCCCTGCCCCGTTTGATGTAGTACATGATTAAAATATTTTGTTCTTTTACTGTGCATATGTTCATTCACAGATTCATGTATATTTATATTTTAACATCTTATAAGGAAATAGTTCTCTTCCTCCCATATGCAGAAGCTCCAAGCATCCTCCTTGAACCCATCCACATTGAAGAAATAATCTGGTCTGACACCACATTAACTGCCAGGATTCAGTGCTATGGATTTCTAGGAATTGTCATTGGTTGTGGCACCAGTGCATTGAGCCCTGGCAGTTAAAGTGGTGTCAACCCAGATTATTTCTGCAGTGTGAATGCTGCCCTTGTCTTTGTGTTCCCTTTGAGGACAGAAAAGGTTTGAGAAGAGGAGGGGGAGGAGAGATCAGGGCCTCCAAGTCTTGCACACACCTCCAGGGTCCTGCCCCACCATTAGAAAATCATCGAGAGCCAGCATGGCATAGTGGTTTGAATGGTGGACTGTGATTCTGGAGACCAGGATTTAATTTCCAGCTTGCATCCAGCCTCAGGGGAAGGCAATGGCAAACCTTCTCTGAACAAATCTTACAAAGAAAACCCCATGGTAGGTTTGCCTTAGGGTCTCCATTGGTCAGAAGCAATTTGAAGGCACATAACAACAACAAGGGGCTAGGAAAAGAAGATGAAGTTGCTTGCACATATGCTGTTTCCTCTGCAACTGAAGCCATCTATTTCATCCAGTTGTTACAAATATATATATATATATATATATATATATATATATATATATA